CTCACGCGTACTAGATCAGCCCCCAGCAGAGATACCAACGTAAGGTTTCAGCAGAAGCGATGAGGATGCCCAAGAGGTCAATGCAGTGGAACAGAACAGAGCAAGACTTGGACGATATACGGAGGTCGTAGAAGGCAAAGGAGCGACGTGGCGACCGCACGCAATCGGAGACGCTCTCCCGCTCGAGCGCCCAGATTTAGGGCAGGCGTACAGAGACTTGGCAAGATACGCAGGCGGCCTTGCCTGACTCGAACGAGCCCAAAACATGTATTCCCTCAATACAAAGCATGTTACTATGTACAATTGCCACCTACGATGTCCCATGGACCCATTCACCATTCAAATTTTCAGAATCAAGGCCGACGACCTTGACGGGCGCTATTAGTTGGCATTAGTACTAATTTAGTTCTAAATAGCCCAGGGAGTTTTTCCTGATGAACATTCCCATTCCACAGTAGAGAGTAGTGTACTTTAAAGCGTACCATGAGGCGCGGCCTCGCAGGGCAATAAACGGGATCTAGAAAGAAAGAAAGAATACCAAGGTCATCCTGATCTTGTGAGTGGCTACAGGTCGTTTTAGATTTCAATTGACAATAGGTTTAGAGGTATTGATATCGTGAACACCATGCTGAGTATACATATATGGTGGGCCCTCATGTCCTGGGTCACTGGGATCATGATACGAGCAATGACGTGCACTAGCTACTTCTATCTGATCACGAACTACTTAAATCCGGTCAGATTACTGGATGGTGTCTGGTGAGCTTTCTCCGGACGCAATATGGGGTGGAATATCCTGACAACTAGACTGTAGGTCCATAAGGGTAGGCCGTGCTCTGTGAAAGAACTACATATGTGCTGATACCATTTCCGCAGCTCATCATCATCTCGACGGTGAGCTATAATCTCACATCTCCCTCTCTTCTTTACTGAACCGCATTTGTGCAGGGATGCATGATGATTGTTTCCCATCTGTACGGACAGATAGCTGCTTTCGTGATGTCATAGGCTAACTATCATATACATCAGGTTCTACGCACGCCGGGTATAACTACGTGAGTCACCCCAGTGTCTGCCTGAGCATAGTCTATACTCACACCCAGACAGTCAGTGGGGGAACTCAGTGGCCAGTGGTACTGATTGTGAGCGGTCCCCATAAACACACGGTATGTCATATACTCAATTCTGTATAACTCTAGGTGGTCCTTCTCTTCGCGGAGCTCGGTGAGTTCTCATGACAATGGAAATAATCTGTTCTATCCTATATCAATCCTGGATTATGTATCGGTGGGTCTACCTACAAAGGCTTCCTGAACCGCGCTCAGCTCCATCGCATCCAGGCGCCACTATAGAAGCTTCAGTTTACATTTGTCGAGAACCTTTGCAGGAAGCATCCTTGGCTGATCTCAGAATTTAGTTTTCTACAGCCAATGTTCAAAGGGTACCAGCACTTTGCAGTAAGCATATAAGATTGTTACTGAACCGGTCCTTTACTGACGTTGGTACAGTGGCTTATATGCTCAGCCCTCGGGGCTGCTGTGCTACTCGACTTGTTCATTAGCAGGATGCTTATCCTATACCTTTGCAAGAGCAGAACTGGTTTCAAGAGGTACTGCAAGCTTGGTGCCATAGCCCTGACCCTCTGGCATTGATCGTAACTTTCATCAGAATGATTCCATGGTTGACGTCCTGATGGTCTACTCAATCAACACTGGTATGTTCTCTTGTCCCTCGGTTGATAGGAGCCGCTTAATAGCTCTTTCAGGTCTATCTAAGAGGTCAGGAGGAGCAATTGTCCGGTGATGGCTGATACTCAGAGTTTATTTGATGCAGTATTGTCAACTTCACAGCCGCGATCACCGTGAGTCCTTAAAGCCCGCTCAAATCAAACAAAATCTAACAGATCCACTCTCTGACAAGGCCATTACGATGCCTGATAAACTTGTCTACACAGGTCCCTACATATTTGCCTCCAAGAGTACGGCGTTGACACTCTGCAGATGCGCAATCGAGTCTGATTGTCACGGACGTTGGACAGACGCCCCTTTTTGCCGCCCATTCCCCTCCCTTTGACGCCCACCTTCCATTTGCGGACCATTTCCTTTTCTAGCCCATCCCAATTTGGACACTGTAGATACGTTCCCACAGCCGCATGCTACGTTCCCGTGATCGCCATGCTCTTGCCTTTTCTTTCTCGCCCTTTGTTCTCTCTTTGTCATCTTCACTGCCTCGCTCTCGCGCCTTGTCCTTGGTTGCTAAGCAGCCCCTCTAGTATATAAGGACCCCCTTAGGCGCTCCCTAGTCCCCATCTCGACCTCTTGGTCATTGGGACTAGGTGAGTGACCATAGCGTTGTACTTCCCCTCGAGTGCTAATGTATAACTTGGTCATTGGGACTAGTCTG